GACCGAATTGAGGATTTTAGTCTGTCACTCTAAAATCTCCAATTCTACGCCCGATAATTTTATTTCCCTATTTATTTGCACCCAACTTCCAAGGACTTTGACATTTTGAGTTAACCTAAACGACACACACACACACACACACACACATATATATATATAGCGCCGCACACTCAGATCAGTTGGTCGGGCATCTGCTTGTCAGTTGTAAGTTCCCTTTGGTCTGGGGTTTGATTTATAGTGAGAGGAGTAGAGAGAGGGTTGTAGTGAGTTGGGAGGTTGAGAGGGAATTGTGGTCCGCGAATAGGAGAGGCAAAGCCTTTAGTGACTCAGGTTTATGCGAGTTCGAATGGGGAAGAGAAGGGTCTTAGGGTGTTCGACGAGCAATGTAAGCGAGACAAGTGAAAAGGGTGCTATGTCTGGGCTGTGTGAACTCAGGGAGAGGGGTTTCGTGCTGTGCTGGCGGGTTCTTGCATGATAGAAGACAAACAAACACTAGGTTGTTGAATGTGAGAGGTGGAGAGGGATTCATTTTGTTATGAATGTGAATGTGAGAGGCAAAGTGGCTGAGACAGGCCAATCGAAAAGTAGAGAAGGGGTTTCATTTTGGTGAGTTTGAAATAGAGAAAGGGGCGAATCGGTACCTCCTTTGGTTATGTTCATGATGAGAAGCTAGAGAAGGTAATACGCATGCGAACGGTTTCAGAAAATTAATGAGAGAGTGAGAGTCGTTTATGATTTAATTTAATTTAATTTTTTTTTTGTATCAGCAGTAAAAAATGAGCTCGATTTAACGTTAAATTTATCATCATTGATAAACTATTGCAGAGAGCAGATATGATTTTGTTTAAGACTTAGATATAGTTTATTTGAATTTTTAATCTTTTGTAATTTAAAATATTGATTTTGAAAGTAGATCTCTTCAGTTGAGATTTGCATTCAATTTGTCCATCATTGTGGTTTTTTTTTTTCCTTGAAATTTTTATGCTTATAGCCGGGAACATAGATTTTAAAAATAGGCTTCTCTGGTTGCGATTTACTTTCAACACAATCATCATCAAGATTTTTTTGAAGTAATTGCATTTATTTATGGTTATGATTTTGACTGAAGATAATCGCTTAAGTGCTATTAGCATGTAAATCTTATCAACTCTTGTTCTTATGAAAAGGAGGATCAGGATAGATTCAGCCTTGAAAGCTCTAGTCCTTGTATCAAAGGGCTTCATTCTTATAAACGTCAATCCTGATCTGGGTGAGGATTGGACTGGCTAGTGTGAGGCTTTTGATATTGCTTTATAGGCAAGGTGACTCACTTGAGAGCGTACATCACATAATATTTTGTTTAATTTTATTTTTGAAAGAGGAGATTTTATAAAATTCATAATATATATAAGCTTTTTGAATAGTTGCACGCTTCTCAATTCAAGGCAATTTTTTTTGGATTTGATTTTTGAAAGAAGTGACTTTATAAAATTCAAAGTGTTTATGAGCTTTTTGAATAATTTCATGCTTCTTAATGTGGGATAATTTTAATGTGGTTTTATATTTACTTGAGCCTGCACAACATTCTCAGCTATATAATTAAGCTTGTAGCCTATTATTTGGAGCACATGCAGGTAATTAGAACTTATTTTATGTTAGCCCAGGCAGCATACTCTAACTTTACAATCAAACATTTAGTTTAGTGATACTGAAACTCTATACTTGAGTACAATTTAAGAAACACTCTATTTTTAGGTAGCTTGCAAATCCTTTTGTCACTTTTTATGTCTGTTGCGGATTTGGTGGCAAGTAATGCGTGCTATGATTCCTCGCGGGTTTAAAATAATAATGCTTTATTTACATTTGACCCTCATTTGTCAAATTTTTGAATTTTCATGAGTTATAGAAGTTCCCTATAAGTTCTCTGTCCCATTGTTCATCGAAAGTTGTTCGTGCTCATTGGTAGACTACTGGGTTCGTTGCAGGTCTCCTGTAAGTTTGCTTCAAGTTTGATTTTGTGTTCACCTTTGATCTTCATAATGTAACTCCAAAGGTGTTTTTAGTGTATGCTTCTATCTCTAAGTTGCATTTATTCTTTATTTCCATATTCATGTTGATTAAATTTTGTCCCTTGCAATTTTATCTAGTCCAAACATCGACGGTCTCCCTGCATCAGCCCATATAGAAGGCTACATCGGGAGTAATAGACCTTCCTTCACGTCTATAAAGTGCGCATGATCGGTGTTTTGCAACACCGTGATCATTTGTCTTTTAACATATATTTCTAAATGGCGTGCATAGATTTTTAGGTACTTGCATGAAAGAAACATAAAATTTTTCTACCACATCGGAATAATGTGAATGCGTACTTATTTTTAAGCTGGCTTCCCCGCTGCATTGGAACAATGCGAACAAGCATTTATAGCAGACAAATTTACCCACTGTGTTGAAACATACATGGGTATTTAAATTTTCGTGTTATACTTTAGCACATGCGTTGACGACGAGATGGCAAGTCGGAGAATCTGTAATAATATCAAGACAACAAATTTTTTCTTCCTCTCTTTCCTCTCGGGTAGAAGGAGAAAGAGATGGAAAGAGAAGAAAATTGATGGTAATGAGGTTAAAGTCTTAATGGTGTCGAATTGAATTGGAGAGTTTGCCAACAATGCTGTAGCAGTTCGAATTGAATCAACTTATTTCTGATGTCATAGGATGAACGTTGTCTTCTTTGACCATTTATGGTGAAGATAGTTGATGTATTCATTGAAATAAGGTTTGTTCTTATAGTATTGCTTAGGGTCATCTAATTATTTTTTATTTTTCTTCTCTCTTAATTCTCAAATAATTCACTTTATGCTTTTGATTCTCAATCTCTCTATCCTATATAT